CCAGAGCGGCCGACTGCGCCTGCGGGCTCACCCTCCTCAGGGGCAACGCAGCAGCTGCTGTGGGCTCTGCCTTAGAAGGCTCCGGGGAGTCGGCTGCAAGGAGAGAAAGACAAAGCTGGTCAGCACCTCGAATGCTCACGTCCCCGTCCGGACGAGCAATGAGTGCAGCTGCGACTGTGCTAAGGTGACAGCTCTGCGCCCACTCACAGCTGAGCGGCAGCTGCCAAGGACTCGCCAACTGAACACCGTCAGAACTCAAGTGGGACGGGAGGAAGGAGGCTCAGTACTGTGGGGGCTGTGGCTCCGCTGGAGCAAAGCGGGATACCTGTGTTGAGCTCAAAGACACGTGGCCGTGGAAGCACTCACACCTGTTTCGGGGAACCAGGAAACAAGCTACCTGCACTAGTGGCTGCCCCTCTCCATTTCCTGGGGCGCTGAGAAGCCCACAGCACTTTGGAGAGGGTCCTGGAAAAGGCCGAGTGGAAGCTCAGGGCACTGTGGGGCGGCCCGGAAACACCGGTCACAGGGGACGCACGGGTGTCACTGGAAACTCGCCAGCCCGTCTCCATTCCATCTGAGAGCATCTCCTGCAGGCGGGCTGCAGGAGCTAGGCCCGGCCAGGTCAGCAGAAGAGGGCGTGCTGGCCGGGCAGGCAGCTGCAGACGGCCAGGAGGCCGCTGACTGGCAGATGGGTAACGCTCAACCTCAGTGGCTTGGAAGTCTCTAGAATGGTTGTTCTCGCTGGTGGGCCAGAGGCCCACATGGTTTCCAATCACGGTCCCACCTGACGGTCGGATGGGCTGGTTGAGGTTGCTCCCAAGGTCGCGCTCCTGCGTGCTGAGGCCTTCTGCAGTGACCGTGTGCCCAACCATGTCTTGGAGACCCTGAGGCTGCTCTGCACCAGCGGCGGGCCCGCCCTGGGGGGGGGGGGAAGCCGAATGAGTTTCCCAACTTGTGGGGTTAATTACATGTCCGTTTAGATGAGAATGTGTTTGCTGTTGCGGGCCAGATAGTGCCAATTCTGTGGGAAGGGACCCCGTTTCCACTGAAAGAGGACTCCGGGAAACCTCTGCGGCTGCTGGCTGCTCCACACCACCCGTAGAACCGCCGACATCAGTGGAGAAGGGAAGCCCCGTCACCTGTTTGGAAGCTGAAATCGGCACCCCCTCGAGGTCCGCGGCAGCTGCAAGACTCTCCGGCTTGGTGCTGGAGAAGCCAGGACGGGGGGCGTGTGTGCAGGGCAGGAAGGGTACAGATGACCCCAAAGGAAGAGGCTGGGTTCTCGGTGCTGTGGTGGCAGGAGACGAGGCGCAGTCGGTGCTGAAGTCCGAGGTGGGCCTGTGGATGGGTTGAGGACTCGGCACCTCTAAAGTCGGAGGGGCCTGAGGGGCAGCCAGCTCGTTCGTCTTTCTGCTGTCGCCTAAAAGGGCGGCCACACCGTCCTCATCCTGCCAGGGAATCGCCCAAGCCGTGGAGAGAAGATCTGGAAAGTTGCTTGAGAGGGGCAGGTGTGTGGCAGTGGCCAGCAGGGACTGGTCACCACTGGCCTCGCCTGGAAGACCGGGACTTTCTGGCACCCAGGGGGCAGAGGCAGGGCTCTCTGCCGGCTGCAGGGGAAGTGCAGACGGAAAGCCAGCCATCCCAGGCCCTGGCCACCCGAGAGCTGCCCCGGGAAGGACGGCTTGCCCAGGGCCTGCAGCAGTGAGAGGCAGGGCTGGCAGCGGGGAGGACGCGAGCTCTGTGGACAGGGCTGGCTCTCCGGGGCTCTCGGACGGAGGTGGTGGATTCACCGAGTGGGCAGCAGCAGAGGCCAGCGTCCTGTGGGTCATCTCCATGGCCACAGAGTTCGCAGTCTGCAGAAGCAGGGTCTCAGCTTCAGGGGACTCAGCTGTGTGCCGGGAAGTCCCCAAGGGCACAGCACCCTGGGAGTCGCCGAGCTCAGCGGAGGCAGGATTTGAGGCCATTTGCAGTATGGACTGTGACGGGGTGCGGCCTGGAAGCCGAACAGGACTTCTGGGAGCTGGGGGTGGGTGAGGCAGGGGGGCCAATGCTGCCCTGGGGCTTGGGAACAGAGGTGTGGGGGGGCCCGCGGGGTGGG